ATATATATACACAGCCTAATTAGTCACGTCATCATACCCAAGTGTGGTATGTGAGTGGCTGCTTTCTAGAAGTAGTTTCATCCTAGTGGTGAGAGTTCTCCTGGTTGCTCAGTAAGGAAGATGATTTGAAATTTGCTTTACTAAATTTACATTATCTATGGGAAATAGACTTGAAATAAAAAAATACGAAATTTCACCAGTGTTCCCTGAGCCAGAGTGAAGGCCTGAGTTCTGTCCCCAGAACCAGATGTAAACCAGATGTAGCAGCAGACGTGTAATCCCAGTACCTCTACAGCAATACGGGAGGCAGAGACAGGGGCATCCTCAGAAGCCCACAGGCCAGCTAGACTGGCATCCACAGCAATAAACAAGAGTCCTTCTGTCAAGGTGGAAAGTTGGGGAACAATACCCAAGGTTTTCCTCTGGCCTCCACATGTGTAGCATGGCACATGCATGTCCACACACACATAAGTATAAAAACACATCAATTTCTCACCCTTCAGTCTAACAGACTCACAAAAGGGCCATAAGAAGTGAATGACTCCAATCCATCCATCCCCTAAATGTAGAAAATGTATTCATACTACAAAGACAACAGGTTTTATTTGCTGCCGTGAGAAAAATAAATGTTTCATAAAAAGAGTAAGGAAAGAGACCCAAAAAGGTTAAGTGGATTTCTAGAGGTGACAATTACACCTGTCATTTCTGATAGAGATGGTCCTGGTGCCTAGCCTCATAAAAAACGTTTTAGGGGTTTTGTTTCTCATCTTTATTTTTATTTTGTGTGTATGAGTGTATTGCCTGCATGTATGTGAGTGCACCCGTGTCATGCAATGCCATAGGGGTCAGAAGAGGGCTTCAGATTCCTCTGGAACTGGAGTTAAGGACAGTTCGTAGCTGCCATGTGGATGCTGGGAATCAAACCCGGGTCCTCTGCAAGGGCAGTCAGTGCTCTTAACCGCTGAGCCATCTCTCCAGTCCATTTCTCATCTTTAAATGTAGCTCTTTGACAATGTGAAAATAGACATATCATTGAGTAGAAAGACTCAGTAATATAAAGTGTCATCTCCACTTAAATGATTCCAAAGTGTGATGCTATGCACACACACACACACACACACCCCACACCACACAGGCACATATATGTCTAATTGTGGGAACACAGTAGGCCATTTTATATATAGTTTCAGATTGGCAATGCAGCTCAGTCGTAGAGCCTTTGCCTAGTAGTTATGAGGCTCTGGGTTGGATCATAATACCACACACACATGCACACATACATGCGCACACCTATACACATGCATGCATGCATATACGCACATGTGCAGGCACATGCACACAGTTTCCTCCTACTTCTGCTCTGCTGTTGTTTGCTAATCCCTCAGTCCCAGAATTCTCTACTAAATCCCCTGGCTTTACCTCAACACCAAGCCCCAGTCAGCATAACTGACCTGAGCTGCAAATGCTCCAGGACAGCCAGGAATGCAGACCAAAACAAAATCATAAACTTACCTAAAACCTCAAGATTTATTTTTAAAATAAACAAATATTATGAGATTTATTTTGTAGCTTGGTTGTGTAGCTCTAAGTGTGAACTTTGTAGATGACAATATAGGTGTGCTGGATAGCTTTGTCAACTTGACACACCTGAGTAGAGGGAGCCTCAATTGGTGAATTGCCTCCATTGGACTGGCCTGTGGCCATGTCTGTGGGGCATCTTCTTGATTACTGAGTGATGTGGGAGGGCCCAGCCCACTGTGAGTGATGCCACCCCTGGGCAGGCGGTCCTTTATTGAATAGAAAAGCAGGTTGAGCATGGCCAGGGGGGCAAGCTGGTAAGCAGCATTCCTCTATGACCTGTGTTCCAGCTCCTGCCTCCAGGTTCCTGCCCTGAGTTCCTACCTTGGGCTCCTTCAGTGATGAACTGTGACCTGGGAGATGTAAACCAAATAAACCCTTTCCTCCCCCAAGTTGGTATTGGTCAGTGTTTTGTCACAACAATGGAGAAACAAGCTAGAATACGTCAAAAGGTTGGACATGTAATAAGCTCTTTCTTGAAATTTATTAGCATTCTGTTGATACACAGTGTTACCAAGCTGGTCTTCCATATATGCATCTAATTATGAAGCAAAAATATTAGAAAACAGGGGCTGGAGAGATGGCTCCATGGTTAAGAGCACTGGTTGCTCTTGCAAAGCACCTGGGTTCAGTACCCAGCACCCACAGAGCAGCTCCCAGCCATCTGTAACTCCAGGAAATTCAATGCTCTCTTCTGGCCTCTGCAGGCATCCCACACCATGAGTGTACTTACATACATGCAAGCAAAACACTCGTACACATAAAATAAAAATAAATAAATCCAAAATATTAAAATACATTAAACAAGGAAAATAGAATATTTACAAAATGCTTTTTCCTTTCTTTATTCCTGAAACTATATCATAGCTATCGACATGGCAGGTACATTGTTTTAAGTACTACCAATAATTTAGGAATGATTAAAAGTGTATGAGAGTATAGATGTCATATACAGATACTCTGCTGTTTTATATAAAGGACATGTGCATCTGCAGATTCTGGTGTTGACAGGGCATTCTGGACCCCATGCCCTGTGGATAGACAGTAAGTGACTTCAATTTCACTTTATGCGCATGATACCATATAGGAGGGCCAACTTCACTCCAGTTTTTTAAGTCATTCTATTCATCAAAACCTCCTTGTAGTTTCAACTGTGTAAGATAAATTCCAACTCTGGAGCACAGCATGCAAGAGTTCAGCCCTTCCAGAACTACTCTCCCCCTGGTTTACTTGGCTTGCCTCTCATTCCATCCCCCAACACACCCTTCCTCCACTGTCACAGACTCCCTTGACACTCTTACTTCAAATGTCTGTGCTTTGCCCAAGCACATTGGCATATGCCCATAATCCCAGCATTCAGGGGGTTGAGACTTCAGTTCCCAGCACCTACATCAGGTGTCTCACAACCACCTGTAACTCTACCTCCAGATGACCCAACACCTTCTTCTGGCCTCCCAGGGCACCCAAACATGTGATATACACTTACACAAATAATAAAATTTAAAAGAAAGCACAAGAGGTAAAGAAACATAGTTGTGAGGCTGGAGATGTGGCTCAGCAGTTAAGAACACTGGCTGCTCCTGCAGAGGACCAATACAATTCCCAGCACCCACAGAGTGGCTAACAACTGTCTCTAACACCAGTTCCAGGGGATCTAATGCCCTCTTCTTCTGACCTCCTCGGGCATTGCACGACAAGGGTGCACTTACACACATGCAGGCAATACACTCATACACAAAAAACAAAATTAACAAAATATATACATATATTTTTTAATTTTATTATTTTTAATTTATGTGTACGAGTGTATTGCCTGCATGTATGTGAGTACACCCGTATCGTGCAATGCCGCGGACGTCAGAAGAAGAGGGCTTCAGATTCCCCTGGAACTGGAGTTACAGATGGTTGTTAGCTGCCATGTGGGTGCAGGGAATTGAACCCGGATTGTCTGCAAGAGCAGTCCGTGCTCTTAACCACTGAGCCATCTCTCCAGCCCCAAATATATTTTTTAAACAAAACATAGTTGTAAAAAGATGCATAAGACCTTGACTCTGGGGCATTAGCAAGTTCTTTCCACCAGTATCTACCTCATTCTGTGGCTGAACAGAACGCTTCTGCTAAGGAGTGGGTGCTCTCACCTAAAGTTCTGGGTAAGTAGATGTGTAAAGCTGCAACATAGGGGACAGAGCCAAACTTAGAACCAATGGCACATTGTTGCTTTGTTTTTAGTTATGACAACAGAGAAAGAACCATATTGTTAAAAACAGTTCTGATGGGAGTGTTGGCAGGCTCGTGAGGACTCTTTGTAATACGTACCTTTAAATGTCTCAGTGGATACTTCAATAAAGTAGAAACTAAAATCCTGTGGACATTCATAATGCTGAAGGCCAGGCATGTGAACCAAAATATATTTGCTTACAGAATTCTGTCTTTCTGTCTCTCTTGCTGTCTGCCAGGAGGTTATATAAGGATCTTCAGTTCCACACAAACCCTCAGTAACAAAGACTCACAAGAATGAAGACAAATGTTCAAGTGGAAATTCAATTGTATTTATTTTTTATATAGAATCAGAGAAGTAAAAACCTGTACCAAACTCCAGATAAAATAGTTTGATTTATAGATTTGGCTGCATATTTTCTGTATGCACAACATTCTGAATTAAAAATAAACACACATGCATCATTTGACAAAAAGTAGAAGTAAATATTTTTTTAAAGTTTAAGCACTAGCCTGTAAATAATAGTGTTAGGGAAACGGTCTCTGTTAATCACCCATTTTCCCAATTAAATTAATCTACAGTTTCCTTTTTTAACAGCTTATTTTTTTTACACAGACATTATCCTTGCAGACATCGCTTTCTAATTCCATCATAAGAACACACTGTACGCAGTGACACTCCTCTCACTTCACATAACCTTGTACTTGAGCTTTTCTGCTCAGCAGCTCCCACGACGCTAAAACTCTTACTGTTTTATATCCTTCCCATTACAAAATCAGTGAAAGAAATGCATTTCAACCTAAATATGACATAGAAACACTGCCTAGTAATTACCTAAACTGAACAGAATTACCTATAGGTTTTAACTATTTATTTGCTTCAGTAAAATGCATCTTATCAGGAAAAAAAAAGGTTTTAAATCTGACTTTTTAAATTTGCCTTTTCTATGACAAAATTTTGGGATGAGATGATAAAATGTTGATTCAGGACTTAAAAGACTAGATATTCTGGCAGTTGTCTTACAATACGAAATATTATATGAATAGCACCTTATTATGAATTCCGAGGGAATATTAATACTTATAATACTAAAGAACCAGTGAGAGAAAGTGTTGGGGTGTAGCTCAGTCATGGAGCGCTTGCTTCCCATGCATGAAGTCTTGGGGGTCAAGCCCCAGCACTGAAAAAAAAAAGTTGCTCTTATTTCAAATTTTTAGTTTTTATGATCTTTAATATTTTATGGCCTTAAAAGCAATAACAAAAACTCTATCATCTGGCTTTATCTACTAGTAAACAGCCAGGGGCCATATCTCATTCTGGAAAAATATTATATTCATTAAAAATGTTTCAACTAATTTTACTAAAAAAATCATCCTAGTATTTCATAATGCCACAAGCTTCCTAGAAAATTACTTGTAAAATTTGATAACATAAATCATCAATGACTTAACTACTTTAAAAAAGAATGCCTGTTTCTGTGTTCTACTACATTTAATAACCTGAAAACAAGCCTATAAAAATATTTTTTTAAAATACAGTAACACTGCTGAGTTTTGATAGGTCCCTTGTTTTTTATTTTGGTTTTTTTATTCCTTAGAAAGAATGTACAACTCTTTTTTGCCATTTTTGCTAAGAAAAGAATGAAGGAGTGCTCTCTTTCAAGTAGCAGCAACCTAAGTATCTACCCACCTCTCTCACAGAGTGCTCAGACTGAGCAAAGGAGTTAAAGGAACATAAACTGTGGGTCCTTCAGGAAAAAGAAATCACAGCAGGCAGATGGCCCTGTCTGCCGACATGTCCACCAACAGTATGAACAGGACATCACAGCCCTGACACAGCCCTGACACTCGCCTCCCCTTCTCTCCCCTGCCCTCCCTTCCCAATAAAGTGCACCAAAGCCCACTTCTCTACAACAGAGTCTTTGGGTACAAAGGGTGTAGGAGAAAACTGTTGCTTTGTTCTTTGGGGCACCTCTCCAGCATCTTGCTTGTCTTGCTTTTGAGGTGCTATGATTTGTCTATTTCCATGTCACATCAAATACCCTTCCTGCCATATTCCAAACCTCTACTGCTTCATCTTTTGACCTTTTCACTTGCCTTCTTTTCAACAAGATCAAATGTATTCTGTACATTTACATTCCATTCAATCAGAAAGGACCTTATCGAAGATCCAACAACTAAGCCCTCACCCCTCTGGGAATTGAAAGGGTCCTCTCAGAGACCTGGATTCTTAGTGTCTTTTTTTAAAAAGGAGATTAAACTTATAGATTATAAATAATGTCGGTTCAAAGACTAAGCAGCTGAGGACTTCATTGGTAGTATAGGTAGCCTGCATGCCAGGCGAACATGATTCTCTCAGTCCTTAAAAGCTAATAAAAAAAGTTGGTTACATAAGAGGTATTGAGTACATATCTTATGTCTTTTTATACCAACTTGGCAAACAGGATTAAAACAACATACTTAGGAATCCATTTTACTGAATTCAGAAACGTAAGTCTCCAGCATATGCCCCAACGGGGCTTTTTTTTTTTTTTTTTAAACACGTCAGTCAGAGATCTGCTTCATCCTTCAGTTTCATAGATAGGATTGTTTTTAAACACTTGAAATTTTGAAAACAAAACTGACAAGGCTTCAGATTACAAAACACAAATGCTAATCACGTGTGCCATCAGGCTAAAATCTACGTCGCCCTGATGTTGCAGAACAGTTTCAAAAGAGAAAAATATAGTTGCCGCTGATTTATCAAAAACATTTGGCTGCCCTTTTTCATAAGCTACAAAATTAGTGTTTTATAAAAGAAACATCAAATGCTAAGCTGCATTTCAAAAATAAAATCCAAACTGCAATTTTAAAAAGGTTTGTTTGATAACTGCTTATGTTAGTAGCAAACTGGTCTCTTTCACGAGATCTCTGGTGTTAAGAACGGTGATTCTCAAGCAGCCGTCACCCTTCTGCTGGAAGGAACAAGTTGTCTGGGTGCTACGTAGTAAAATGATGAAGGGGAGTAACACTAGGGCTCTGTGCAACTTTGTAAATCCAGAAGAGGAAGAGCCATCAGAGCCAGCATGGATTCAAAACTACATTGTATTCCATACAGCATAAATTTACCATCTATACAAGGATTTTCAAAGCTCATGTTAAATAAGTTTTAAAGCGTTTCTTACTACTATCACCAGTACAGTTTTTGAAACTGTAAATCAGGTCTTTGTGCACATTTCCTGGACCAAGCTGCCTGTCAGAATTCACTGCCCATGGTCAGCTTTTATGGTTTACAGTCCATTGGTGTATACAATTTCAGCTAACACCCATAAAGCTTGGCCATGAGGCAGAGGAGATTTTAAAGTGATTCCGCATAACTGATCCTGCAGACCTGATTCTGCATTATCTGTCACAGAAATGCAGGCTTGCAGAAAATGAAAATAGAATATTTGTTTATGCTTAACTTACGTTCCCATCAATCAAAACCAGGCAGTGATTAAACTGGCCACATGAAAAGGAGGAAGCATGGCTACGGAGGCAGGAAGTGGTGCGACTGCAGACCTGCTCCGCTCCATCGCTTCTTCTGAGGCCCAGGAAATGTCAGGTCACGGCTGCACCAAGTTACAATGGTAGTGGTTACAGCCAGGTTAGAAAGGGCTCACTTTTGTTCAGAGCAGACTCTACATCATTAAAGAGAGGGATCAGATCTTCAGACTCCAAAGTTCCTAGGTCAACGTTTGTTCCTGGAAGACAGTCAAGGAAATCAGGGAAGCGGGTCTGCTGAGGATTGATGTTCATGGGTGTCTGACCTGCATTTTCTCCTACAACAGAGTCAAAGGAAACCATGTTACTCCTTGTAAGTTCTTTAAAAAGGGATTAAGTGACACCATAACTCACATGTTCATGTCTGCAGATACACATTAACAACCTAATCCTACCTTGGCAGAATGTATATCCCAGTAAGTCTAGAGTTCTGCAGAACACGTTAGATAGGTGTGTCCTCCGAAAGAACCAGCAACAGCTACATGTCTGAATCCTAAGAGACTCCACAGAAACAGAGGAAGACAGTTGCCCCTCCCACCCAACTGGTCAGCTTTAATTGCATGAGGGGAGGGTCTAAGGACAGACACGGAGGAAGCCAGGGAGACAGACGGAAGTTCACCACCTTGGTGGTGCTCTGGCAGCAGCTGATCTGAAAGCTGTGTCCTCGATCCACAGAAAACTATCATTGCAACCTTGGGATACTCAAAAGTACATATTGTAGCCAGACACACTGAAGAATTCCTCTTAGTCATTCTTGTCAGAAACGAAAGCGTGAGCAGACAAGCCAAGCTTCGGCAAGGTTGGTAATCTTAAAACATCTCCCTTGCCAGCAGCTCTGCAATGCCATTGTGAGCTTTTTTATCTTTGTTGTTTTAGCCCCTTCAAAGTGGGTGATGGGGCTGGAGAGATGGCTCAGCGGTTAAAAGCACTGCCTGCTCTTGCAAAGGATCTGTGCTTGATTCCCAGCACCCCCATGGCAGCTAACAACCGTCCCTGACTCCAGTTCAAGGAGATCCAAAGCCTTCTTCTGTCCTCCACCAGCACTGAAGGGCATAGGTCCACTTATATACATGCAGGAAAAACACTCATACACATAAAATAAATACAACAAAATAAACGTTTTTTTTGAAGGTCGGTGAGACAAAATACAGGCAATTCTTCGGGGATTATTATGGAGCAGTCTAGAAGCACGGAAGACTGCCCAGCCTCTGTTGATTGCCCGTCCCTCTGCTCTACCTTTGCACCAAGTCTTGCTATTGTTGGTGTTGACAAAATACAGGCAATTCTTCGGGGATTATTATGGAGCAGTCTAGAAGCATGGAAGACTGCCCAGCCTCTGTTGATTGCCAGTCCCTCTGCTCTACCTTTGCACCAAGTCTTGCTATTGTTGGTGTGCACTTGCTGCAAAGGAACCATAGGATTTATCAAATCCATTTCGTATATTGCATCAACCTTCTTCAACAGAAGAGCAGAGGTGAGACCATTACTCTCATTTCATTGGTAAGAAGCTGAGGTCCACATAGGTGGAGGAACACAGACTAAGGCTGCCTTGTCTGCAACCATTTCAAGGCACCATTTCAATGCATATTATGTCTTCAAAACTCTTCCCAATTACCCACTTGATTTTATTTTGGACACGTATGGAAATGGCCGAGCCTTTAATCCCAGCACTTGGGAGGCAGAGGCAGGCAGATCTCTCTGAGACCAGCCTGGTCTACATGGTAAGTTCCAGGCCAGCTAGGGAAACTAGGAGACCCTGCCTGAAAAGAATGAATGAATGAATAAATGAATGAATGAATGAATAAATAAATAAATAAATAAAATAAAATAGATAAATAAATAAATTTTTAAAAAATTAAATAAATACTCTTGGGTTTGGGGTTTTTTTTTTAATTTCGGTTTTTACCTTTACTGGATTCTTGGTGTTTAAAAGATGAAAGTAAACAACTGTTAAACATAGGCAGGAACAACTTCAATAAGGAAACAAAATAAATCTCTCACTGAAAAAAATCAGAAGAGATGAAGGTGGGAGGAGGGAGAGCAGCACAGTAATAAATTGGGGAACAGTGCTGCAAACAGTTCAAACTACTCCCATGTGCCTCCTCACAAGACAGTCTGGTCAGTGCTCTCCACACACAGAGATGGCCTGCGAGGCTCCAGCCCTGTACTTGTAAGGCTGCACTGTAAATCTAGCTGCAGTATGACCTGCAGTCTCAACAACAAACAGTTCAGCCTCACAGCAGCACACAGAGCCATCACGCAGGAACGGCATGTACCCGACTGCAGATACTGTGCATAAATGATTTGGGGGAAGCAATTTTTCACTTTCGTCAGAGAACAATTACTTTTCTATCATCAATAATAACAGCAGAGAAGCTTGTGAATACCTGAGCTGTCATTTATTTTTAGCTTGGCCAGCAGGCCACAATATTGCTAGAAACATGCAATTAGTTGTGCAATTCTCAGTGTGAACTTTGTAGGTGACAACGCTGTGTCTCTATGTCAGCAGGTTGGACATGCCTGTTCCAGAAAATCTTCTAGAGTCTGACTTGCATCTTTAGGGATCTAGATTAAGCTTAGTTAAGCTAAACTCAGTTTTACAACTAGAGGCTGAAAGGCAGCTATAATCTCACTCCTTGAGAGCTTGACCTGAAAGATGCATAGGCTGTGGGCTGGGGAAGTCAGCTGGTTCTCTTCTTGTTCATTACTGAGGGAAGATGTTATAATGTTAGAAATTGGAGCTGGCAATTTAGAATCCTCTGAGCTGCTAACTTTCTAAATGCTCACTGCCAATTGCTTTCCCCAAAATAACGAACATGAAAACATTAGTGTGTTTGTAGGATTACAGAGAGTATCATTTCCCAGAAGAATATGGACCATTCATTACAACTAAAAAGTAGGAAGAGCACTGGTCTCCTTTGCACAGCAAGGGGCGGGGGGAGCACACAACACGACACGACACGCTTAGAATCCCACGCCCATGTGAAAACTCTATCTGTATAAACTCTGTGAAAGGGCTGGTGTTTGCTAGTAGTGCCTGTGGACAGAGTGGCTTTTCCCTGTCATTTTATGTTGTTGAGCCTTAGAGTTTCTTACTGGCTTTTAGACTCAAGATAATCAAGGGAACAATTTAAAACGGAAAACACTGCAAACAATCGCAAGTTATGTTCCCACCTGTGTCCATCTCGTCCACGTTGCTGAGGAAGTCCTCTGGAGTTGTGGGGACACTGTAGCACCCTAACCCCAGGCCGCTGTCCGTGCTCTGCTCCCTTGAATGATAGGGCCCTCTGCAGAAGGGAAAAAAGGAGACCTCCCTATGAGCCCACTTACTAAAGTTCACAATTAAAATGCAGCCACAGAACTCAGTCAGTGAAGGGGAGAAAACACGGCCGTGTACTTTAACTTTGAAATATATATCCCAATCTGAAGGAAACCAGTCAGTTAGATGTAAGTAAAACTGTCCCTTTATCATAAATGGAACTGAACTCCTTTCATCTCAAAATAACCATTTGGATACCTTCCTACATATAGAGTATGGTACAGGACACTGTGCATGTAGAATTTTTAAAAACAGAAGCAATACTGAAGATGCTTTAGATGCACATTAACGGCATTAAGAAATGTGTATGAAGCCAGTCCTGCTAGTACATGCCTAGGAGCCCCAACAATCAGGGCCTGAGGCAAAGGATCCTGAGTTCAAGGCTATACAGAGGGATCCTGTCTAAAAACACAGTTCAGTGTGATGGACACACCACTTTCTGAATAGTGGCTGCTACTGGGGAAGGAAAGGGTAGAATGAGAGCTCAGTGATGGTGGGGATGGACTCAGATGGTCCCTTAATTTCTTTTTACTAAAAATTAAGATTGGATGGAAACACAGCCTGGGTAGTGGATGCGTTAGCAACTCTTATATTTTTCTTAATATTTTTTCTTTTCTTTAAAATTAACAATTTAAAAATATGAATAGTGGCTGCTACTGGGGAAGGAAAGGGTAGAATGAGAGCTCAGTGATGGTGGGGATGGACTCAGATGGTCCCTTAATTTCTTTTTACTAAAAATTAAGATTGGATGGAAACACAGCCTGGGTAGTGGATGCGTTAGCAACTCTTATATTTTTCTTAATATTTTTTCTTTTCTTTAAAATTAACAATTTAAAAATAAACATTTGTTCACTGTTTTGGTTACTGTTTATTTTCATCTCTCTCTTTAATTGTACTTGTTTTCCAGGAACCTCCTCAAGTCAGAAACACAAAGGAGATCTTGCCCCATATTTAGGTTTAAAAGGTTACAATTAAAGTCGACTGTGTCTATCATTTAGGTAATTCTGGGTAAGTTATCTTTTCCTTCTGCTACTAGGTGGGTTTTTTTTTACATCAATATCTCTTTTGTTTTAATTAATTTTTAATTGTGAAAAACTTAAAACTCACAAAGAACGAGCAAAAAGAACAGAAGGAGTTTCTGTATCTCACCAGTTTCCTTAATAGAAAAGGCACAATTACCCCAACCAGAAAATTAACATTGCGGAATACTGTTAACTAAACTACAAACCGGATTCACCCTTCAAATGCCTCTACAGTTCTTGCTGTTGTCTATTTTCCGTGTCCTGCTTTTATCCCTGCTCCACTACAGAAAAGTACAAGAGTCTTGAAAGCATAATTACTAGATAACACCCTCCTGTTTAAACTGTAAGTTCATCCTCATGTACCAATCATTGAGTCAGGTTTCTTCCATATCATATGGCTAGTTTTTGAAATGGAGAATGTTTTAAAAGGTAGATAACTTCTCTTCCAGGTCTCCCCATACCTTCAGCCCTCAAGTTCTTTACCTTTCCTGAGTATAACCAAACATCGCACTATAGGTCACATAATAAAAAAGAAAAAAAAAAAAAATCAATGGCCCCCAGTGTTAACTTACCCATTGAGGAAAGGATCTGAGCTGTTGTTGGTGATGGACCTCATATCTGGGGTCATAGCAGGTGGGTTGACATTGGCCAAGGTCTCAGCTTCCATGGGGAGCTGTCTGCAGAGGGCAGCTTCCTAAGTAAGAATCAGAGGAAAAGGGAGTCACGAATTGTCACACAAGGATTGGAGCAGAATATGCTTCACATGGAAACTGCTCACCAAATACAAAACATTTTATCAAAACCATTGGGAAATCCTTAGTACACTTTCTCTGAGGAAAGTCTGATGGATGGGTTGTTCTCTTCCTCTCACAAAACTATAGAGAACCTAAGTGAGCATTTGGCCTCTGGATACTTACTTTAAAACTGCCACTCCTGGAGTGGTGGTACACGCCTTTAATCCCATCAAACACTCAGGAGGCAGAGGCAGGCCGACCTCTGTGAGTTCAAGGCTAGCTTGGTCTACATAGCAAGTTCCAGGACAACTGGGGCTATAGGGAAACCCTGTCTCAAAAAGACCAAAAAAAAACAAAAAAAAAAAAAAAAAAAAAAAACCACCAAACAACAACAACAAAAACAACAACAACAACAACAAAGCCTGCCCCATCTACCCATGAGGTTCTTTAGACACCAAAATCATATTATGGTCTCTCAAGACATTTTCACACTGACAAGGTTATTGCTATCCTAGGTTCTCGGGCTAAATCTACAGCAATCAAATACTTCTGGACTTGCAGGTACATTTTGGTCTCCCCTCCCACATATATATACCAGAGAATTTGTAGATTTCGAGTTCAGGCTCTACACTAAATTACCTCTGGCAGTTTGTGTTAATAACCAGACCAACAAACAGCCAGTTAAAAAATTTGTTTAATGGGGGCTAGAGAGATGGCTCAGTGGTTAAGAGCACCAGTTGTTCTTGCAGAGGACCCGGGTTCAGTTCCCAGTACCCACATGGTAGCTAACAACTACCGCTAATTTCAGTTCCAGAGGATCTGACACCTTCTTCTGGCCTCTGCAGGCATTGCATGCTTATGGTGCACTTACATATATGCAGGCAAAACACTCATACATACACATAAAATAAGCATAAATAAATACCTTTTTTTAAAGTTTGCTTTAAAAAATATCATGGCCAGCAAGGGGCATTGATGGGTAAAGGCATGTACCGCCTAGCCTGAGTTCAATCCCTGGAACCCACAGAGTGGAAGGATAGAACCGACTCCTACAAAGTCTCTGGCCCCCACAGGTGCACACAATAATTAATTAGTTAATTAATTAATTTCCAGGCCAGCAAGGTGGCTCAGTGAAGGTTCTCAATACACAAGCCTGAGCTTAATCCCTGGGAACCCACATAAAGGTGGAAGGGGAGAACTGACACTCCAAAGTTGTCCTTGCACATATAAGCCATAGCACATGCAAATCTGCGTGCACACGCACACGCACACACACAATAGTAATAATTTCAAAGTAATCTGTTTCTTTATTTCACTATAATTTGAATTGACTAAAATGGTTCAATGTTGGGGAAGCTCCCCAAACAAAATCCCACAGACAATTAAATGTTTGATGATATGGAATTCGTTATTTTTTAAGCTAGCACTAATAGCAAGGAGAGTCAGTCCAAAAGGTTATGAGCTTATTGACTACAGCTGCCTTCTCTAGATAAACATGACCAGGCATCAAGCTCCTTTCAAGTTAGTGGCTGTTTCCAGAGAACACTTTCATATGCTTATTCTGGCATCCAAAACTAAGGTTAAGACCTTCCCTGTACTTATGCCTATCAATTTCCAAATTTCCAGACTGAAGTCATTGGTCTCACATCCCTAAAACCCCCAAACCATGGCTACAATGACAAACAGAACATTTTAGCCTTCTAAGTTCCAGGATCTTGGTTAGATGTCTGCCAGCCCTGACACGCTACGACTTTAGAAAGTAACTGCTGTCTGGGCAAGTGCCCCAGTGAAGTCATCAGCTATAAAACTCCCAGTTACCAGAGCTCATTGTGCTGTTGCTAGTAGTTATGGTAGCATTACGCTCATAAATCGTAAGAGGCTTGACTGTTAAGAAACTGCATTGCTAGGGCTGGAGATGGCTGTTCTTCAAGAGGACCGGGGTTTGGTTTCTAGAATCCACATGGTGGTTAACGACCATCTGTAACTTCAGTTCCAGGGGATCCAATGCCCTCTTCTGGCCTCTGCAGGTTTGCACACATGGGTCACTTACATACATGCAGGCAAAACACTCATACACATAAAATAAATGGAAGGAGGGAGGGAGGGAGGGGGGACAGAGGAAGGAAGGAGGAAGGAAGGAAGGAGGGAGGGAGGGAGGGAGGGAGGGGAGACAGAGGAAGGAAGGAGGGAAGAAACTGTGCTGTTGGTGTGTACTAAAATAAATACACAGAAAAGGGCCTCTAATTTACTTCTGTTCATCTAGACTGCAAATAATAATTAGAATGCTTAACTAACACATTTCATTCAGCAATAAACAAAAAAACAAGTTAAAAATGGATATTTTCTTTAAAGCTGATTTCAGTTCATTTTCTAAATCTTAGAAGTGTTTTCTAAATGAATCTAGAAAAAAATCAAATTAATTTCTGGAAATTATGTTTATATGTCTTAGAAACTTTATTATCCAACAAAGCTTTCCTGAAAGCCTCATGTAAAAAACAAGTACAGGACCTGGGAGGAGCCCAGCAGTCCAAACCCTCAGGAGCACTCACATACTCTGAATCATGGTGAAGACAACCATCAGTGATTTACGTTCTGGTAAATACAAGAATCTTCTGGCTAATAATCTTCACTATCAGGGAAGAAGGGAAGGAAGGGAAGGAAAGGGAAGGGAGGGGAGGGGAGGGGAAGAGAGGGGACGGTAGGGGAGGGAAAGGAAGAGGAGGGGTCCTCGGGACGGTAAGGGGGTAGGAGAGAGAGAGAGAGAGAGAGAGAGAGAGAGAGAGAGAGAGAGGAAGAGAGAGAAAGAGAGGCTATAATAAGAGGAATTTAAAGAAAGAAAGAAAGAAAGAAAGGAAGGAAGGAAGGAAGGAATGAAGGAAAGAAAGAAAGAAAGAAAGAGAAGAAAGAAGAAAGAAAGAAAAAAAAGAGAAGGGAGGGAGGGAGAGAAGGAGGGAGGAGAGGAGGAAGAAAAGGAGGAAGGGAGGGAGGAAGAGAAGGAAGGAGGAGAGAGAGGAAGAAAAAAAAATCTTGAAAAAAGCTGGGTGTGGGGGCACATGCCTTTAATCCCAATACTCAGGAGGCAAAAGCAGGAAGATCTCTAAATTTGAGGCCAGTATGGTCTACATAGCAATTTCCAGGCCAGCAAGGACTATACATGAGACTCTGTCTCAGAAAATCAAAACCAATCAACCAACCAAGCAAACATACAACAGATGGATGGATGGATGGATGGATGCAAGGAAGGAAGGAAGGAAGGAAGGAAGGAAGGAAGGAAGGAAAGAAAAAGAAAGAGAGGGGAGGGAGGGAGAGAAGGAGGGAGGGGGAGGAACGAAGGAAGGAAGGAAGGAAGGAAGGAAGGAAGGAAGGAAGGAAGGAAGGAAGGAGGAAGGAGCTGAAGAGATGGCTCAGCAGAGGACCAGGATTCAGTTCTCAGAACCCACATGGCAGCTAACAATCATCTGTTACTCCAGTTCCAGGGGATGACACCCCCCCCAACACACACACACACACACACACCCTTCTGGCCTCTGTGGGCACTGCACCCATGTTGGTGCACTTATATACATACAGGCAAAATACTCATAAAAATAAATAATTTTTTAAAATAAATTTAACTGGCATATTTCATTCTTCAACTACTCAGAGTAAGTAAAGGATTGACCTCTAAATAAATGCCCTTTTGTTTATTCTTTTACTGTTTTTTTTTTTGAGACAGGAGCTCCCTATGTAGCCCAGGGTAGCCTTGAACTTGCGATTCTCCTGCCTCAGCCTCCTGAGAGCAGGGATCACAGGTATGTCACTACGTCTAGCAACTAATACATTTTATAGAAACAAGATAATCAGAGGGCTGAGGATATGGCTTAAAATGTTTGCTATGTAAGCATGAGGACCTGAGTTCTGATCCCCAGTATACATGTAAAAAGCTGGAGAGGTGGCTCAGGGGTTAAGAGCACTTGCTGTTCTTCCAAAGGACTTGGATTCAATTTCTAGCAACCGTATTTTGGCTCTATCACCCCTCTTCCGGTCTTCCCAGGCACTACACACATAGCAGTATACATACCAGTAATCAAAGCACTTGTATAAATAAAAATAAATGAATCCTTTAAAAAAAAAAAAGCTGAGGGATACAGCCAGGCATGGTGGCACACACCTTTGATCCCAGCACTCAGGAGGCAGAGGCAGGAGGAGCTATGTAAGTTCAAGGCCAGTCTGGTCTACATCTCGAGTTCCAGGCTAGCCGGGACTATGTAGCAAGACCCTGCCTCAACAAAGCCGAGAAAACCAACTTATGAAAATTGTCCTTTGACCTCCGTACATGAACCATGGCACAAGTGTGCTCGCATTCAGACACATACATATACATACACATCATACACATACACACAGCAATAATAAAAAATAAATTTAAAAGTATTTGGAGGGAACAGGAGGACAGTCACCAGGGGAAGAGGAAAGATTGGGAGGACGGCAGGGGACGAGAACAGAGTACATGGGGGTATATGGATGGAAATGTCACAATGAAAATCTATTCCTTTGTATGTGAACCAAAGGAGATTTAAGGATTATATCACAACTGATGATGAAAGGGCCTAGAGGACACTGGGGAAGACACCTCACTGCGCTGTTTCGGGTCTATCCCACCTAGTTTTTTAAATATTTTATTTATTGATTTTATGTGTATGAATATATTGCCTGCATGTAGGTAAGTGCACCCATGTCATGCAATGCCCACAGGGGACAGAAGAGGTTGTTGGGTCCCCTGGAACTGGAGTTATGGACAGTTGTTAGCTGCCACGTGGGTGCTGGGATTCAAACCCTGGCCTTCTGCAAGATCAGCCAGTGTTCTTAACCACTGCACTATCTCTCCAGCCCCATCCACCTATTTTTAAAAATATTTTATTTATTATTTTATTTTATGTGTATGAGTGTATTGCCTGCATGCATGTGAGTGTACTGTGTT